CCAGCCAGCTTTGCTGGCTGGGGAATTCTGGGAGTTGAAGTCCGCCAGGCTTCAAGGGGCCAAGGTTGGACAGCCCTGCACTAGACCAACAATCAAATAAACAATACCCCCAATCAAGGAACTACGGAACCAACTCAGACAAATAATCAAACAGTGAAGAAAAGCCTTATCAAGGAACATCAAGAACTCCCAAAAACACTGATAGGACAAACCCACCAGTAGATAAACAGAGAACAAGTCCCTTCTAAGTAGCACTGATGATTTTCCCCTAGTTGGGCAATGAAACATTTGCAAGAAAATCTTAAAGGTGCTTTTTTTGAAGAGGCCATTGGGCTTTCTTGGTTGTTGTTTTTTTTCTTGAAGAGATGTTGCTTCAAGAAGCTTCTTCCGTTCTGACTGAAGGATTTATTTGAACTGAAGAAGCTTCTTGGGTGAGAAGCGAAACGTCTTCAAGGAAAAAACAAGAAAAGTCCAGTTGCCTCTTGAAAAAGCACCTTTGGGACAACTATGGCTTAGATCAGGGGTCCCCAACCACCGGTCCGTGGACCGGTACCGGTCCGTGGAACAAGTTCTACCGGGCCGCTGGCTTGCTGGGCGCCGCCATCTTGTTTTGATGAAAAAGTGCTTCCGGTGAGCTCACCAGAAGCACTTTTTCATCAAAACAAGATGGCGGCGCCCAGCTGATGTCGGTACCGGGCCGCGCCATAAAAAAGGTTGGGGATACCGGGCCGCGGCGTAAAAAAGGTTGGGGATCACTGGCTTAGATGACTGAGGATCTCCACAGAAATTTAGGTTTCACTTCTCATCCAAGAAGCTTCTTCGGTTCTGACTGAATGGTGGGAAATAGAAGGATTTATACGAATTGAAGAAGCTTCTTGGATGAGAAGCGAAATGTCTTCAAGGAAAAACCAAGAAAGTCCAGTTGTCTCTTGAAAAAGCACCTTTGGGACAAATCATGGCCTGGATGATTGAGAATTTCCATAGACATCTGCAAGAAAACAACCAAGGACACAACAATCTTGACTCAACCCAACAAGACTTCAGAGAATAATTAGGGCTGCAGAAAAAACAATAGCTAACAACCTGCCTTCAATCAAGGACCTGTATACTGCACAAGTCAAAAAGAGGGCTGTGAAAATACTTACAGACCCCTCACATCCTGGACATAAATTGTTTAAACTCCTTCCCACTGCACACCAGTACAACCAGACACAAGGACAGTGTTTCCCCAACACCATCACTCTGCTAAACAAATAATTTCCTCAACACTGTCCAACTATTTACTAAGTCTGCACTACTATCACTATTAATCTTCTCATCACTCCTTATCGCCCATCCCCTCCCGCTTGTGAGTGTATGACTGTAACTTTGTTGCTTGTATCCTTACAATTTTTATTGATTGACTGTTTCCTAGTATGATTCTATTGCTTATTGTACCCTATGACTATTAAGTGTTGTACCTGATGATTCTTGACTCTTGACAAATGTATCTTTTCTTTTATGTACACTTTTGTACATAAAAGCATTTGCACCAAGCATTGGATCCTTGTGCATCCAATCACACTTGGCCAATAAAAGAATTCTATTCTATTCTGATTTCTATTCCATTCCATATTCTATTCCACTCCATATTCTATTCTATATTCTGTTCTATTCCATTCCATTCTATTCTGATTTCTATTCCGTTCCATATTCTATTCTCTATTCTATTCTGATTTCTATTCCATTCCATATTCTATTCTATATTCTGTTCTATTCCGTTCCATTCTGATTTCTATTCCATTCCATATTCTATTCTATTCTGATTTCTATTCCATTCCATTCCTTATTCTATTCTATTCCTTATTCTATTTTCTCTTCTCTTCTCTTCATTCCAATGCAGTGACTACTGAACTGAAAATTGAATAAATTCTATTTCTGCGCTACTTAAGGCCGCAAAAAACATAATGGCAAGTCCCACTATATTTCAGTTGATTTGGTCACTCAGAGGAGGAAATGAACAGTGCAGCTGCAAACACAGAATCAGCTGGTTCCTCAAAGGTTGTGAAGAAAGAAAACTAGTTTTGCAATAGTACATCAACTGATCAGGTTTACCCGTTTTTCAAAGCCTGGTGTGTAACTTATAAATGAGCGAAGTTCATGCACCACACTAACTCATATCCTTTCCAATAAATTAAATGCTCAAAGCATCCACTGTAAAACAGAGGTTGATTTTGGCAAGGTTTAAGGGGTTTAATCAGGTTTAGGCTTGGGAAAATTAAAGAGGGTAAGATCTGCCTAGTGAACTTGGTGGTTTTTTTGCAGACCTTTCGTTACCAAACTAGATTACGTCATCTGGGATAGAAGAATGGGGCTTGTGGAAAGCAGAAGAAGGATGGAAGAGAAAAGAGGAGGAAGAAAAGGGCTAAAAGAATGGGGTTTGTGAAGGTGAGAAGGATAGAAGAGGAGAAGGGGGAAGAGGAAGAAAAGGACTGTGGTTTTTCCTGTAGACATTTCATTACCAAACTAGGTTACAGCATCAGTGCTTGGGATAACAAGAGTTTTGAGCTCGATTTTCAGGTTTCCTGAAAGGGCCTGCTCTTACATTTGCTGCTCTGTCCCCCCTCCTCTGAAGAAGCACCCCAGATTTTCCTTCTCCCCCCCCCCCACTTCACCGTTTCTCTCGTTGCCTGTTCATTCCCCCCAGATGTGTGGGGTGAACCCCGAGGTGCTCGCTCACCCCCTCTTTTTCATTCTCCATCAGCACTTTTTTCAGCGCAACCTTCTTGCCCGTCTGCCGATGTTTCGCTTTGAAGACCTCCCTGCAGAGAAAGCCAAGGAGAGCGTTAAGAGGGGGTGGGGGGCGGTTAGGCAAAAGAGGGAGGGGCAAAGGATGCCCGAATGGCCGGGAATGATGGGTTGGTGGGAGCCGGATAGTAGATGGTCCCCCGGAGGGCAGATGTTCCATCAGCCTCTGCTCCGGAATCCCCGTTGCTGGGAGACCAGCAACGATGGCAAAAGGCTGGGCTGTCGGGCCCACAAGGGGCAGGACGGAGGACCGGCTGGCGGAGCTCGTGAGGTCTCTCTCTCTCTCTCTCTCTCTCCCTCCCTCCATGCCAGCATTCAGAAGCTTGAGGTGGGGGTGAAATAAATGGGCATCCCAGGGGCAGCTCAGTCCATGCCAGGAGGAGCATGGAAGGTCCCTCACACAAGGGAAGGTCCCAGGGTTGTGTGTTTGTGTGTCTGTGCGTGTTTGTGTGCTTTTGTGTGTCTGTGCCTGTATATGTTTGTGTGTGTCTGTGTACATTTGTGTGTATGTTTGTGTGCTTTGTGTCTGTGTGTGTTTTTGGTCTGTATATGTTTGCATGTCTGTGTGTGCCTGTATAAGTTTGTGTGTCTGTGTGTTTGGGGGGGGGGGGGGGGGTTAGGATTAAAGGAGGAAGAAGATGGCCACAGTGCCAAAGCCACAGGGGGAGAACGAGACAAGGGGCGACTAAGCGCATTTCAGCTCCCTGTACTACAACTCCCATCTTCCTGAGCTGGGGGTATGGAGGGCTCTGGTTCTTTCCGCCCAAAAGAGGGCGCTGGCGTGGGGGCGTGGAAGGGGGCTCCTCGAGGAGGATGGGGAGCCCATGCTGCTCCACTCCCAAGTGGCCGGGAGCGATGGGTCTCCAGCCCCCCCATTCGGAACCCAGCGGCGGCTGTGCACCATGGGAGGGGGGGGAGGCGCCCTCCGCGAAGGCGAGCAAGGGGCGCCGGGCAGGAGGAGAGGGAGCGGGGGGGGGGGGGGCGGCAGGCCGGCGGGGGAGGAGGGTGCTTGTAGTCCAAGGGGGAGGTGCACCCCAGCGGGAGGGGACGATGGGCTGGGGAGTCCACCCACCCACCCACGTGGGAGGCCAAGGCCGGACGCGCCTTACCCGAAGGTGCCCTGCCCGATCTTGGCCAGCTTCTCGTACTTGGAGACCTCGTCGCAGTACGGGCACTCGGCCGCGTCGTACTGCTTGGCCATGGCCGTCCCGGCGCCCCCAAAGTCCGCGGTCAGCCGGCAGCCTCTTCCCCCCGAGCGCGCAGGGGCGCTTCCGGCCACACTTCCGCCCGGCCGCTCCATCCCCTCACCACTTCCGGCGCGGGGAGGCGGGGGGAGGGCCCACGCGAGGCAGCCTGGGAGGCGTAGTTCGAAGCCGCCCGCCCTCCCGCCCGCCTGGCTGGCTGGCTGGCTCCACGTGCCCGGGAAGGTGGGGGGAGTGGGGGAAGCCGGCGAAGGACGAGGAGGATGGGCTCTGGGGGAGTGGATAATGGGTTCTGGGAGGGGATGATGGGCTCTGGGGCAAGGGATGATGGGCTCTGGCAGGGGAGGATGGGCTCTCGGAGGAGATCGTGGGGGAGGATGGGCTCTCGGAGGGAATGATGGGCTCTGGCAGGGGAGGATGGGTTCTGGGAGGGGAGGATGGGCTCTAGGAGGGGGTGATGAGATCGTGGGGGAGGATGGGCTCTGGGAGAGGAGGATGGGCTCTGGGAGAGGAGGATGAGATAGTAGGGGGGGTGGGGGTGGGGGAGGGGGGGCTCGGGGAGGGAATGATGGCCTCTGGCAGGGGATGATGGGCTATGAAGGAGATGATGGGCTCTGGGAGGGGAGGATGAGCTCGAGGGAGATGATGGGCTCTGGTTGGGGAGTGATGGGCTCTGAGGTGGATGATGGACTCTGGGGTGGGTGGGAATGATGGGCTCCAAGGGGAATGATGAACTTTGAGAGGGGATGATGGGTTCTGAGGAGGAGGATGGGCTCTGGGGACGAGGCTTAACCCCTCCTCTTTTTTTTGCAAGGGAAGAAGCCTGAAATAAACATTTCCAAGGATGCATTCTTGCAAAAATTTGTGCAATTAATTTGGAAGGGGGGGAATAGAAAAGCTTTCATTCAAAGTTGCCCACAAAGTGAACCTAAACATGAGGAGGATTACATTTACTGTCTTTCATTTAATTTTGCTGAAAAATCCTTCCTTTCCTCTCTTTCTTTCTTTCTTTCTTTCTTTCTTTCTTTCTTTCTTTCTTTCT